CTGAACAGCTCAGCAGCCTCTGAGCCTGAGAGAAGATGGTATGCCTCAGGGAACAAGTCAAACCCTCCTTCTCTGGAAGATACCACTCCTGGCCCCAGAGCGACTGTGCTGAGTGCACTACTTTGGAACGCCAGGAGTTCTTCTGTGTACTGCACCCACTGGGTGAGTTGAAGCTTTGCTTGGTGAGGTGATGCTTGAATATTCTTCAACAGCAAACAGGAGAATGACCGTGGAGGTCTCCAGGTGCACCTGGACTTTGTAGTCTGGCTCAGCAGAGGCAGCTCAGGCAGGAGTGACATGCACCAAGCAGATAAGCTGCTTCTGCAGGCTGAAGATGGAGCTTTGCCTGGGAAGATGCTGTTGTCCATCTTGATTAGGACTTGATGCCTGATGTAAGTCATGTGACAAGCACAAACAAAATACCTTGACAAAACCTTGAGGAACCAGGACAGGCTGAGCTGCTTAAGGAGATTTGCAGTGTGTATTTCTGTCCTGTGCACTCGCCTTGGGCTGAACCTTTCCTGTCTCAGGAGCTCCAGAATATACCTTGGATTTTGAAGAAGCTTTTTCATTCCCCAAATGATCTGCAAACCTTCTCAATTTTGTGCTCTTAAGTTTAACAGTGTAGTCCCGGTTGTTTTACACCACCAAGGTACTAGAATGCTATAAAGATGTCTTCTGGGAAGTGCTGTTGGGATTTGTGGAGCAAAGATCCCATCAAATTAGATTAGAAAATAAGTCCTGAAGAAATGGGAGAGTTAAGAGCTGATGTGAGTGTTACAGCAGAGGTGGGAAACTGATTGTGTCTTGAAAGAGAGGGGAGGAGAAACAGCTTCTGCTTGCTTGGCTCCTGTTTGTGTGTTGGGCCAAAAGTTCTCTGCCTGCTCCTGTCAATGCCTATTCCTTCTGGTGCTGCTCTGGGGCGGTGCCAGGATCCAGATATCTGCCTTCTGCAAGCATCTCAGCTGGGGACCCAGCTGTCCTTCCTGCAGCCTTGTTCCCCCTTCCTCCCCTTTTCCCTAGGACTTGCTTTCTCTAAGGTGGATTTTAGAGGTTCCTGACCTAACAAGGTGAAGAAAGAATAGAAACTGAGTATTGAAAACACTGCTGAGAAGTCACTTCTTAGCCACAGGCAAGGGCAAAGTATAACCTGATCAGCAAACTAATGCTTGCTTAATTTATTCTTAAAAATCTTCATGGATGTGGATTTCTCAGCCCTCCCAGCTGAGAAATCCACAGCTGGCCTCTTCCATCTTCAGCCATCACCACAATTGCTGAGTTTCTTGGAACATCTAGCCTTGATGTCTCTCTCTGTCAGCTGAGCTGATTGTCCTTTCCTGGGTGAGCACAAGGACCAGTTCAATCAGTGTCCTTTGCAGAACAGTCTGACAGATCTGGTGGATTTCTGTTGCACGTGTCCTCATCTCTTTTCTCTGACAGTGGAGAAATGGATTCTTCTGTGTCACCACCCCACCATGAGCTTTCTGGTGAAGAAGGGAAGAAGAGCAGGAGGTCTTCCGGGGTGGTCAGTAGTGGGCTGACAATCCAGGAAGGTCACCTCTGTGCAGGGAGCTGAGTGAGGGCTGGGCATAGGTTAAGCAGGAGCCAGGATGGAGCAGAAAGCAGTGGCTGATGAAAGTCTGTGACAAATAGTAACGAAGTGATGAAGAGGGAAGGGGAGAGGGGAGAGAGGTCCCATTTTTCAAATCTGCTGTTTGTTTTGAGATGAGGTTAACGGGAAGTGAAGATGTTGCCAGCCCACCTTTGGAGAGGGGAACCCCTTCAGAGGAGAGCTGGTGCCTGCACAGGGGCAGGCTGTGTGGAGCTGGGCACCCACAGTGCTTCTGGCTGAGCAGGCAGTGCTTCCTCCCTCTTTGCTGTATCGCTGTAGATAGAAGCTGCTGGAGGTTGTGGAGAGGGAGAGCAGCAGGACAGACTGATTTTTATTTTTTTTCCCCTGTCCATCAGCAATTGGAAGCCTGCTGTCCTTCACAGACCTCTTCTCTTCTGCTGTTTTATGCCGACTCCCTGTTCACCGAGCTGAAAGTTACTACTTCTCTCTGAAAGAGCAAAATTATATTTTACTTCTGCTTTTCTTTCCATGCAGGGTTCCTTCCTTTCTTGTTTCTGAGGTTCCAGTCTCCTGTTGCCCCGTGTAATTTGAATGATCTCCTCTCTTCTACCTCACTCCTTTCTTCATTATCCCTCTTGTCTCTATTTACTCCTTATTCACCTACACATATGCATCTATGTATTCATATCTTAATATCTTCCAGATTTGCTTGTTCAGCAACATGAATTTGACAGGAGAGATTTGGATTCTAGTTCAAGTTTGTTTATTAACTGTCCAAACTGAATGAAAAACAAAACTTCTCTGAGTACCCGCTGGCCAGAACCTCCCAGTTCTGGGACACAGCCGAGCCTCCAGGACTTGGTCTCCCTGTCACTCTTGTATGATGGAGGAGCAAAGGAGGCCCTGCTGCCCTGCCCCTCCCCTAACCTCCACTTCTGGGAACCTCCCTCTCCCCATGAATAACTCCAGTGTCTGCCACTGGTGCTGGGCAGCACTTTGCCAATCATCGTCCCCAGCAGGAAGTGGACATGATTTTGATAGTGTCACTCTACCACACACGAGACGCTGAATAGCAGCAAGAAAACTGAGCAGTTTTGTTAATCTCGCTGGTGTTTGGCAACCTCTCAGCAGCAGCCACAGAGGCACTACAGCTGTCTGTCTGCAGCCCCAGGAATACAATGCTGCATTATTTTATATTTGGAGATCATCTTTCCAATCATAAGGTCTGGAATGTTTTATATATTTACTTCTCTATGAGGAAAGCTTCCTACTGTCACTAATCAACAGATTTTTCAGGCCTGTGTGTTATAGAGATAAATGCATCGATACTTCCAAAGGGCTTTGGGGTCCTGAGGTGGAAACACAAAATATGACTTGTGTTTTGGAAAGGGCCTTGGAATAAGTTACGTGGTACAGCGTGCCGTCACTCCCAGGGATGCAGCTCCAACCACATCCTCCATCCAGCCCCTCCTGAACACTGCTTTTTCCTCTTATGTTCACAGATGGTAGCTCATTTTGATCCTGTTCTCTCTTCTCCAATATTGGTGGAAAAGAAGAGAATAAAATAATAAGCATAATGCAGAAGATATATGTCTTTATAGTGAAGTGTTTTAATGCTGCCTCTTAGTGCTCTGCATTATCTGTTGCGTATAATGCACTTAGAATTATAACAGTCTGCTGGGAGTAAACTGAAGGATGTTGTCCTTTTGTATGCCCAGCACTGATCTCTTGTTTCTTTTCTCCTTTCTGGAGTTTAATTAGCACTACTACTCTGCCTAAGTTGGGCAGTCAATGGAGCATGAAAGCCTGTGCCAGGTGACTTGCAAAACATTAGTTCCCCACGTGAAGTATTTGCCGTCCAACTCGGAGCAGGTGCCAGGAGGCAGTGCAGCAGCAGTGAGTTTGGGCAGCGGGGCAGGAGCAGCAGTGGCTTTCTGATGGCTCAGAACTCACAGGGTGTGCAAGGGGAGGTGACTGCCGTGCTGCTGCTGTGCTGCAACCGTGGCTGAGGTACAGCTCAGTCCCTGGGGTGGTCACTGAGTGTCTGGTTGTGAGCTCACTGAGTGCCAGGTGTGGGGCCAGAAGATGAGATAGTGCCACTGACCTCAGCTCAGGAAATGGAGTGGGTGAATGGTGGTTTGGCAGAGCCAGTGGGTGGATGAATTCAGCTCTCGGTTGCAGCTACAGCCTTTGGGACGAGCCTAGGTAATGAAAAATACTATTGTGGGGTGCTATTAAAACAAAGGTGTCCTGGTTCGCCTCCAGGAGGGAGGTGAGGTGTATCGGCACAGGGAAAAGCGGTCATTAAAGAAGGCAAAGAATGGTCAGAGGAGGCTGGTGCTGACCTACAGCCGTTTGGCACCTCGCACCGTGGGGAAGGCTCGTGCTGAGGTGTGGAGACGGGCAGGGGAATGTTTGGCAGCGCTGTGGCACGGAGCAGGAACGGCCCATCGGCCTCTGCTGCCCCTGTCCTGAGAGAGGCTTTGTGTGCTGCTGTGTTGTGATGTGTCACCACTGCTAACAAGCGCCCTTTCTCAGGGCGATGCGCCGTGCGGGCAGGGCAGAGAGGCTCCGGTTCTCCTCTGACACCCGGCATTTCGTTTGTTCCTCACTGGGCTCCTCCACGCCAGCTTGCCCGAGCGCCGAGCAGAGCGCAGGGCCCGCGGTACGCTACACGGGTGAACTTGCGAGAGGGCAGCGAGACGCCGGAGCTCGGCACGGCTCTGTTGATTTGTACGAGCGAGGAACTGCCGAGCGCCGGGGGCCGCTCCGCTCCATCCGCGGGGAAGGGCTCGGGCCGCGCCGAACCGCCGCTCCGGTGCCGCGAGCGGGGCCGTCCGGCCGCGGTGCGGGGTTCCGCCGGAGGAGCCGCCCGGGTGGGCAGCGCCGAGCTCCGGTCGGGAGCCCCGGGAGCGAGCCGTCCCCTCCCGTGCCCGCGGCCCCGCCGGGATCCCGCGCCCGCGGGCAGCCTCCGCTCGGCGGGGGCCGCGGCCTCGGCAGCGCTCCGGGCGGGCAGGGCAGCCCCGGGGGCCGGGCCGGGCCCTCCGCCCGCCGGCTTTAACCCGCCCGCTGCCGGCGTCTCCGTCGCCGCCGGGAGCTCCGGAGCCGCCGCGGCGAACTCGAGCGGCCCGAGCCGGGCCTCGCCCCGCGGCACCCGGCGGACCCGGCCCGGCCGAGGCCGCAGCGACGGGGCAGAGCCCGCGGCCTTTTGTCCGCCAGCGCAGGTGCGGAGCGGCGCGGCCGAGGACAAAGCGCCCGCGGGGCCCCGGGCCGCCTCCGCCGCCGTTCCGCTCTGCTCCGCCGCCGCCTTTCCTTCTCCTCCGGCGCGGTCCGGGCGCGGCTCCCAGCGTTCGGTCCCGGCGCGGCCCGGCGCCGCCGGCGGGTTTTATGCGCACGGCGGCCGGCGGGCCGGCGGGGGTGGGAGGAGCCGGGCAGGTTGTGCCCGCCGGGCCCTCCTCCCTCGCTCCCTCCCCGCCCGGCGGAGAGGGGTCGGGGGAGGGGGCAGCATGGCCTGTCCGTCCGGCCCCTTTTCCAGCGCTCATCTGCCCCGGGAGTGCGGCGCCGCTCCTCGCAGGGAGAAGAGGTCCGAATGGAGACAGACGGCAGCCAGCCCGGCCTCGCCTCCCCGGACTCCCCGCACGACCCCTGGTACCGGAGCGGCGGGCGCCGCCGGCCGCCTCCTCCGCCGCCCCCCTGGCCCCGCTCGCGGCCGCGGCCGCCCCCTCCCCCCGGCCCCGGCCGCCCGGCCCGGGCAGGCGCGGCGGCGGCGGTGCCGCTGCCAACATGGCCGATCCGCGCCCTCCCCTCTCCGCCCGGCCCCGCCGCCGCCGCTGCCGCCGCCAACCCCGCGGGGCGCCGCGGCCCCCCGGCGCGGCCCCGCTCACGGCTCTCTCTCTTCCTCCCGCAGCAAAATGTTCATCGGGGGACTGAGCTGGCAGACCACGCAAGGTGAGCGCCGCGGCCGCCCCGCACCTGCCGCCGGGGCCGGGGGGCGGCGGGGCCGGGGCCGGGGGGCGGCGAGGGGCCGGGCGGGCCGGGACACCCACGGCGGGCGCTGTGCTTGCAGAGGGCCTGCGGGAGTACTTCAGCCAGTTCGGCGAGGTGAAAGAGTGCCTGGTGATGCGGGACCCGCTGACAAAGAGATCCAGGTGAGGAGGCCGGGCCCGCTCCTCCCTTCGCCCCCGCCGCGGCCCGGCCGCCACTTTAACCAACTTTCTCTCTTCTCTCCGCATCCCCTCTCCTGCCCGGGCTGCGGGGCTCAGGGGCTTCGGGTTCGTCACGTTCATGGACCAGGCTGGCGTCGACAAGGTTCTGGCCCAATCCAGACATGAACTGGACTCCAAGACGGTGAGATGACTTCTCTCATCTCAGGGGTGCGTTGGCCGGCGGAGCGGCTGCTCTCGGAGCAGCCATCGATTGCGGTGTTTGATTTCCAGTTAGAGGTTGTAAACTATCGATTACCGATAGAGATTGATCGGGCCCTTCTCCACCCCACTTATCAGCTGGTAACGGAGCTGCTGCCCGCGCTCCGTGCTCGCTATTGACCGCTGACCCAACGTCCGGGCATCGATCGCGGATCCCGGCGGCGGCCATCCTCTTCCCATTGATCAGAGGCCCCTCCGTGAGCCGGGATGCACGGGCCTGGCTGTGCTGAGGGTGTTTGGGCCGAGGGTTGCTCCCTCCTGGCAGCCCCATTCCCCACGGCCCATGCTTTCCCCTCGGCACAGAGCATTCATTCCTCGTGCCCTGGTGCTTTCCCCAGGCGAAGTTTTTGTAACGGTTGCGGAGGTTCAAGACTTTATTGTCTCCGAGCATGGCCAGCGCCCGCCCATGTGGGCCACCAGCGCTCTCTCCTGCTCTCGCTCTGCAGCTCCAGGGCCCCCAGCTGAGCTCCGCGGGAGATTTCAGTGGCGTATGGCACAGGGAGCTGAGCTGCAGCGCTCAGAGATGTGTGGGCTCAATTTTGGGGGGGTGGGGGTGTCTGAGTGGGAGGTCCTTGCTCCATGGTTTTAGTGACTTCCCTTGCCCTGGGTTCCTTTTCCGTGTTGCTGCCCTGGGGTGAAGGTGAGGGTAGGGATGGGGAGCGGTGGGGGCTGCGTGGTGGTGCTGAGGTGCAGGGAGGTGTTTCTGTGCCAGGCACGGGCTGCACAGGAGTCCAAATGCTCAACTTTACTTGCAGCGTGGCCCGGGCATCTGTGCCTTTATTGTGGAAGAGCAGGACCCCCTTTCTGAGGGTTTACGGCTTGGGTTGCAGTGAGATTTATGTCTGTTCCTGTTAAACTGCCTGGCTCGCTCCCTTTGATGTGCACAGGTCCTTCCTCCCCCTGGCAGCTCCGGGTTAAGCCTGTCCCAGCCCTCCTGGCCAAGCCTGGGTCCCTAGGACTTCCAAACCTCCTTCCTGCAGTGGTGTAAAGGGAGCTGTGCTCTTGGGGAGGTTTGTGGTGAAGTATTTTGAGGATGACCCAGGGGTTTTCTTCTGTTTTTTTTTTTTATTTTTTTTTAATTTTTTCTTTTTTTCTTCCTTCTTTCTCCCTTACCAGTCCATGTAAACGCAATATCACATCAGCTAGTCCTGGTCAGTGTAGACCCTCTTGGAAAGGCAAGGGATGGAGGTCTGCAGCAGCAGTTCTGCCGGCTGGGAGCACAGTGCCATCCCGAGGCTCCATTCTTCTCGCTGCCTCCTGCGCCATGCAGCTCTGCTGTGCGCCGTGGGGCTGGGGAGGGACGGCAAGGGGACGGGCGCTGTGGGGAGCAGACGGCCCTGTGACAGAGGGCACATGGGGACCGGCCATTGAAATTCCCGGCTGCATCTGCTCCACTCGCCTTCCTGGCGTGGCAGAGAGAATGGGGCTGTTCCAAAGGGTCCTTCCTTTGTTAGGAACTTTGATCCTCCTCCCCATCCTTTCTGTTTTTCACTTGGGTTGGCTTTCAGCTGTCGGATGTTTTGGGGTGTTCTGCCCAGCGATTGCCGGGTGAGCGGTTGGTGCTGTGGTGGTGCTGCGTGGAGCCTCCGTCCTCCTTTTGCCTGCTGAAAGGCTCTGCTGTGAGTCACGGGTTAAGTGACACAAACTCATCTGAATCCTAATTTAGGGTTTTATGAAACTATGCAGGAAAAGGCCCGGTGGCCCGAGAGGACAGCCTTCTCTCCAGGCTTGGTGTCTCCTGGTAAACAGCGTTTGATAGACAGTGGCTGCCCAACTTGTTGCTTCATTGTTTTCCAATTCTCCCTATCCTAACGAGCGCTGTTGGCCCGAATCTCCGGGGAAACCTTGTGCTTTTCAGACTTCTCTTTGTTTGTAAGCTAGATTGCAGCAGCTCGTGGGGTTATTTATGGAAATACTTGATATGAGAATTGGCTTTGCCGTCTCAAGGTAAAAGATTTGCGTGACTTTGTAAAGCTGCAGCTGGCCGCTGCCTTGAGCTTCTTCTTTATGTGCTCCGGGAAGAGCGGGCTCCATGGTGCTGCTTCGCTGACTCGTTTCTTTGTTGCCGTTCCTGAGTTTTTTTTTCTGGGTTTGTTCTTTTGTGGAGGAGAGATGTAGTGCTGGCAGATGGAGGCAGGGCGGCCGCAGGGGTGCGGTGACCGAGCAGACCCAGCAGTGAGGTCTGGGGTTCCCTGTCCTGCCCTGCTGCAGGGTGCCCACAACACCGGCTCTGTGCAGGATCTGCTCCACGTGCCATGCATCAGAAGCCTGCTGCACAAGCACCTGCAGCATCAGGTACCCCACAGCATCATTGGGATTCCTGTCCTTAGTGCCTCGTGGGGTGAAGCGAATGCGGTTTGTGCTCAGGTGACTCGTGCTTGCCACAGCCTGACATGGGGTTTTGTTTTTTTTGTATGCAATCTGAACAGTTCTGAATGCTTTTGCTCTTAGCAGATTTCTATCTGGGTTTGTGAAAAGGATCTGTTACGTCAGTGGGTGACACTGAAACACAACTCCTCCGGGGCTGTTTGTTTGAACACCAGAAATTAGGGAAAAAGGTACCAGTGCTTTTGCTTTCATTAGACTCCAGCCGCTGAGGAGCGGTCCGGTTTTAGTAACTTGAGTCCGGCGCTGAGCTCGCTCCCTCTGCGTGTTCCCAGGGCTGCCCCTCTGCCGGGCGCCCGGCCTCCCCTACCTGCACAATGGCTGCTTGTGCAGAAGAATTCGTGCAATGACTGCCTGCTCCCTCCAGCCAGGAGGACGCGTTATCTCTGCCCAGTTGATCACACTCAGGGTAATGAGAAAATGAGGCCGAGCTTAGCATTGCTGAGTATGAAAGCATCTTCTTGGCAGGAGCTGAATGACACTGGCTGAGAAGTAAAAGACAGTAGATTATTGTTTTTGCTTATTATCTGCCATCAGCCTCCTGGTCTCCTGCCGTCCCCTGTCCTCAGAATTCACCGTGGGTTTCTGTGCTGGCCAGGAAGCGGCAGGGCGTGCGTGTGTGCAGGAGGGGAGGGACAGCTCGGATGCCCCATGGAGGCACCCAGAGGGTACAGTAATCTGCTTGCGCTTGCAGCCTGGGGAGAGAAGTTTATTTTTGAGTTTATTTGTGCTCTTCACTTTTGCCTCTGTTTACTTACGTGCTGAGTTTATTTATGTTGTAGGCTGTGAGTCAGGATGGAGGTGGGGAAGGCTGGTAGAAGGGCCTGGGGAGGCCGAGCTGCAGGGCGGTGTGGATGAGCAGGAGGGCTGCAAAGCTGAACAAAGCAGCGAGAGGAGCTGAAGTAACACGGCTTCCTTTGGGCTGTTTGAACTGCTGGCGGGTGGGATGGTTCTCTGGGCTGCCCTCTCAGCTGCAGCCCATCCAAGCACGGGGATGAGCCAGACCTGCCTTTACCACAGGTCTTAAGCTGATTTGTAGGTCTGGATCATCCCTGATGTGATGTAACTTTACAGGAGTTGCTGTAAAAATAGGCTATAAAGAAGGAGGAGCACAAGCTTCGTGGATCTTTGGTGTGCAGCTGCATGCCCAGCTCTGTGGTGCTGTGAGGCTGATGCAGGCACATGCTGCATGCAGCTCATCCATGCTGATTCCAGCACAACAAGCAGCACCTGGATGGGGTGCAGAGCCCAGCAGCTTGGCCAGCAGCAGGTCTGTGCAGCAGCCGAGCAAGCACAATGGAGGGCTCGGCCCACAGAGGGGAGGCATTGCTTCATTGTGTGCAGTGTGGCCCACAGGAGAGGGGCAGCACGCTGCCCTGCAGCCACAGCCCCTGCTCGTCTGCAGCTCTGGATCTCTGTGTTTAATTGGTAGCGTCCTGCCTGCTCTTTTATTTCTTCGTCCTCTGGTTTTGGGGTGAAACGTTGGGCTTTTTGCACGCTGCTTCTTTTCTACCCTGTCGTTAACCAGGTGAGCTCTGTGCTTGTAGATAGAGTGAAGGGGGAGGGAGAGCAAAAAGGCAAAAGAAAGCACTTTTAATATGACCCTGATGATGGAGGGCACCCGGGGGCAGGCTGAGCGGGAGGGTGCAGCCGAGCCTGTTAATCCCAGCACGTGATGGGCTCTCGGGTGCCGTCTGGCCAGCGCTCAGCTGGATTCAGACTGCTGCATGCTGGGACTTGTAGTCTCCATGGATTACACCTTACCGAGCAGGGAAGATGTCTGCAGCCTGCTTCTATGCACCTCAGGTAGATTCTTCGGGTATTTAGCAAGGTACCACGTGGGTGGAGACAGCTGTGCACATGGAGGAAATGCTGTGTTTGTAAATAGGCAACAAAAGTGTGTTCACCTCTTCTTTGTCTTCTCTTTCAGATTGACCCGAAGGTAGCGTTCCCCCGCCGAGCACAGCCCAAGGTGGGTTCTGTGGGCAGGCATTGTCCCTCCAGGGCTGCAATTGGTGGGGGTGAATTTTGTCCCTCTGCGTGGGTTTGCAGTGCATGCAGCAGAGTCATTCTCTTGGTTTGCTTGGAGTGCGAGCTGCTCCTCTCAGGTGTGCAGTGCAGTGTTGGGGTCGTGTGTTGCTGGAAGAACCAGCATCCTCCCTCGGTTATACTGAGGGATGCAATAGTTAGAAGTGGTAAAATAAACTCTGCCCAGGGTGAACCTGGTCCTTTGGAAGTTGCAGGCCTAAGGAGACATAGGGCAGCTCTGTGCTGTGATGTGGTACAGGTGGAAAAGGGAGTCGTGTGTTCAGATGTGTGAATGAATGTGTGTATGGCAGGAAAGGGGTGAAGGATTTTGTTTTGTGAAGTGGCCTTGTGCTGGAAGAGGTAGAAGGACCTTGTCTGCAAGACTGGCATTGAAGTGAACAGTTGCAGGAACTCTTTCCAAGTGTGCAGCTAGAGACTTCTAACTGAGGATCCAATAGCAGGCTGGACACTGCTACTAGGCTTTGGATCTCCTTTTAGGTTTGTTCTTAGATGGGAGTTTTAAAATTTGGGATCTCAGTTCCATGTGCTGTCACAGGAGGAGGAGCTGGGCAGAGAAGCAGTGTGGAGAAGCACAGAGGGAGGAGAAGGCTGGTGCTGGAGGGAAGTAGGGGGGATCAGGCACAGAGAACAATTGGTGAGCAGGTATCCCAAGTAACTGAAGCCAGGAAGCACATGGTAGGAATTGGGTTAATTCCATTAAGCAGTTTGGTGACAGAAGGTGCTTTAGTGTTAGAACGGGCTGCTCTCCAAGCCAGGGAATTGCTGTGGATTAGCCCTATGCTCCTTGGGGTAATTAGGACCATGTGTTCCTCTGAGAGCAGGGGTGTAGCCAAGCAGCTAAGGGGAGGATGCAGCTGGAGAGCCAGTTGAAAGGATGTTAGTGTGTCTCAGCCTGGCAGCAGTGGCCCCTCTCAGGGTAGTTAGTTTGTTCCCTTGTCCCAGCAGCATGAGCAAGAAGTGGCAGAGAGGTCTTCTCTTTGCTTTCTTGCAAAGCCAAACAGGATTCAACTGGGAGGTGACTGGGCAGTGGTATGTGATGAGTCTTATCCCGTTCGAGGCTGGGTGCTGTGCAGTTAGGTAGCTGGGATGGTGAAGCCTGGAGAGCCTACCTGTGCTGGAGGGCCTCCAGCCTGTCTTCCTGCTTGGGGAAGCAGTGCATGCATCTCCAGGGGAGCCTGGAAGAGGCTGGGTGTGTGAAGCAGTAGGGCTGTGGGAGGAGCTGGAGGGCTGGGGAAGTTGAGGTCTGCTTCTCTGGGGTGCAAAGGTGCCAAGGCAGTGGCTTAGTGAGAGGAGAGGCTGTAGTGTGCTGTGCAAGGAGGAGATGGAGTCACTGAGCTGCTGTGGGAGAGCACACACAGGGTCTGGTGTGGGCATTTGGGGCGCTTTGAGTGGGTGAGAGATTGACTGCAGCCAAGAGGCAGCTGCCTCCTGGCAGCAGAGGGTGAGTTAGTGGCCTTTTGAGTCTCATTCTCCACTTGCTCTCAGTTTATTTGGTGAATTCCTGTCCTTCCCTTTTCCAGATGGTGACCCGAACGAAGAAGATATTTGTGGGTGGTCTGTCAGTGAACACTACTGTGGAGGATGTGAAACAGTATTTTGAGCAGTTTGGGAAGGTAAGTCTCTTGAGTGGTGTTGGATCAAAGCTGTTGCTTCTGGGGCAAGCAGGAGTTTTATGAACTTTTGGAGGTGGGTTTAGGAGCCTGCAAGTCTTTTGCATGGGGTTAAGTAAATTGAAGGTCAGTTACAGAGGTTAGGTATCTGTAATGTGTTTGTAGGGGCCGTAGCCCTGTGCAGATTTGAAACAAAGAGCTTGTGCTTGTTCCTGCAGTCACTGAGACCTGGATTAAGGGAAATGGTTTTCCATTTTTTTTCCCTATTCAGAGGTTGGTTATGAGATTTTAGTCCTGTAGATTTGTCGTTTGTTCAAACGCTGAAGGAAGATATGCAGACACTCTTAACAGGGCTGCTGCAGCATCAAACCTGTGATTTTTGGTCTGTTTTTAAGCCTTGTGATTGGTATTTCTGTAATCTTTTATTAAAATAAGCCTTTTTGTCCTGAAATTTCCCCTGCTGAGTCTTGGGCAAGTGCTGATGTTGTTTTTGGATGTTTGAAGAAAAAACTGGCACAATTGCTGTGCCTTGTGTTGGCCTGGGACTTCTGTGCCAGCTGGTGGCTCAGGGGAGAGCAGGCTTCTGTGGATTGAAATTGTTTGTGCCCTTGCTCTCTGGCAGCCAGGTGTGCAAATCATGAGTAACAGCAGAGTTGGAGGATGTGCGAGGCTCAGTCTTGGCCTTTCAGCTGCTTCAGGAAGCTGTGAGTGTCCTCAGGAACAACTCAGTAATACTAGAAGGGTCCCAAGATTTGTAATGGCTTTAGGAACTGATGGGATTACTGTAGCCAGAAGCTGTGTGTGGTCACTTCTGGACAGGGCACTGTAACTGTTGGTAGCATTGTGCACTTACTGTTGCTCTGGGGGAGAAACGTTGGATTCTGTAGCTGTTGGGAGCTTCCTGCCTGGCCAGAATGTGGTTTGCTGGGTGGCAGCCTGGCCAGGACGTTGCTGATTACACCCTGGATGTGCAGCTGTGAAGAGTGTGAGGGATAAAGGCTTTGCTACTCATTTTCTTCTGAAAGATTATGCAAAAAGGTGATGCTGTTTTAAGGTACATTAGTTGGTGAACAGGAGGGGAGATTTTAAATCAGTTTCGTTGCATAATTGGAACTTTTTGGATGAAAATTTGGTATGAGTGTTAGTTCAGTTAGTTCACCTTTACTCAGCTTTGAAAGCCAAATCTGTGCGTGTTCTGGGATGTTGTCATGGCTGCAAAGTGGAACTTCTTAGTGTTTCTGTTCAGCCCTAAGGGAGTGGTAATGGCAAAAGTCATCAGAAGTCCTCACACTTGCTGTTTGTAACTGCTATATGGTTTTTATTTTCTGTTAGAAATAAGCAAGCTCTGTTGTGTCCCTGGGAACTTACACATGGTGTCACTGAAGGGCTCCACTAAAGGTGGTGTTGTCCATGTGTCCGTCGTCTGAAGTCTGTTAGCTGCATGTGTTTCTGTGCTGCTGCTGCTGGATGTGTTCGATAGGAAACCAAAATGTCTTGGCCATAATCCCCTTTTAACCTTAACTATACCTCTGTTAATTTGAAGCAGAAGGCATATCACCTAGCACTCAGTTTACAAGCAGTTACTGTCTGTTGTTCTAGTTTCAGAAGAACTTTCCAGTTCTTTTGGAATGTTATCCTCTTGTGTTCCTCTTGTTCAATGTCACGTGTTGAAAGGTGTCCTGACACCAGGAGACTGGCAAGAACTGGTTGTGTCAGATTGTTTTCCTGGGTCTGGGCAGAAGGGAGAGTTCTGCATAGCTCAGTGTGATTCATTGCTGTAGAACCAGCATCCTGGATGACATCCGGTGCTCAAAGTCTGCATGAGGCCAATGCAGCTGGCCTCTGCTCTTGGGAGTTTCCGTGGGGAGAGGTCAGGGCTGGTCACATTGAGACTCCGTTTTTGGGGCAGTTTTCTGACTCATCTGGCTGTATGAGCTGAGGAGGTTCCTCGGAGCTCTGGTTTAAAGCATGCTTCCTGGCCTTTAACTATCTTCTAGGCCATGCCTCAAATAATTCATCAAAGGCCAGGAAAACTGTTTCCCGAGAAATTCTCTGCAGTTGGTGGTTCTGTATAGCTGTTCTGTGTGATCAGTGGAAACACATTTCAGAGGAAAGCCTCTGTGGCCATCAGAGCTGGGGTTCCGGGCTCAGAATGTGCCTTTCTGGTTTCTAGGGCAAAGAAAAGCCTGTTGCTGCAATTTCAGATGTGAGTCATTATTACGGAGAACATGATTTTGGTGCACAGGCTCTTCTGGTGTTTGTTATGATACTCTGAGGCCTCATAGCTTTCACAGGTTCCTTAGGATCCCTTCTTTAAAGGTAGACACCGCACCTGCCCTTGTGGTCTTTCATCTCCTTAATTTAAGACAACTCCAAGTGAGAAGTGAAGCTTCAGTCATGTCATCTTATAAAGCCTCTCTGAAAGAAAAAAAAGAGCTGTTCAAGTCATTTGGGATTGGACTGTGACTATCTGAAAAGGAGCTGTTAAGGATGCCCTTCTTGGAGGACTGGCTTTGTCTGTGTTTCCTCCTCTTCTGAGTGACCTCCTGTTTTTCCAGGATCTGTCAGGGAGAGAAATCTCTCTTCTTTCCTCCTGTCAGAGAACGGTTAGATTCTGAAGGGGTTTGAAATGGGAGACATGCTGTCTTGATTCTGCAAAACCAAGCTACCAGACTCCTGGGGGTGACTTGTAGTCAGTCTTCAGTGGCAGTTCAGTGTGGATTTGGCTTCAGAGACAGGTCATCCTCTGTTCAGGCTGCTGGAGGTTATCTTCCCAGTAATCCTGAGGCTGCAGGCCTAAGACTTGTCACCTTGAAACCTTTGCATCAGGATAGGTGCTTTTTGAGAAATACATTCTAGTCTAGCCAGAAAGCATGCACGTGCTGTAGGAATTATGAGAGGAAGTTCCATGGCCTGCAATACAGACAAGGTCAAATGAGATTCTGATCATGTTCTGTTGTCCAAATGTGTGAATTGCATCTTGTGAGTCTACCAAGGTAGTTTAGTTGGTTTTGGTGCATTTTGGATAAGAAGCAGCACTTGGAGCCTCTAGTGTTCCCTAGCAGGAAAAATAATGGAAGTTTGATTGGTTTCAAAATGAAAAGCTTTTCCATTAAAAAAAAAAAAAAAAAAAAATCCCACAAAATTCCCAGGACTGCCATCTCTGTTTTGGCATTTCTCCCTACTGTCCTATTTTTGTTTTGGTTTCTTTCCTTGCCAAGTCCAAAATCTTCTCTGAGCTTTGTAAATAGAAGTGACAAAAGAAAAATGAAGAAGTGTGAGAAGGAAATCCCTGAGCAATACTGATGATAAAGGGAGAGATGGATAGAGTAGCACCCCAAGTCTTTGCATCAGAATACTTGGTTTTGACAGGAAAAAAAAAAAGTGATTCCAAATACAATATGAGAGTTTCTCTGCTTAGAAAAGATACTTTCTTTTTCCCCAAAACTATGAATGAAAAATATGGGCTGAATGTTTTCATGGGGAAAAGAAACACGAAGTGGCTTTTTTGTCTTTTTTTCTGGTTTGTTTTGTTTTAGTGCAGGGAGAGAGACTGAGAAGTGCCTCTCAACATGGCTTTTGTTTGTCAGGTGCAGCTGCTTGGGCTTTAAACATAGTGGGATCTCTAGGAAATACTTCTGGCTCCAAAACCTGCGTCTCTGAGGTGTGAGCTGAGACCATGGACATACTTTCTAAAGATTTTTTCAACTGTAGAAGTCCAGAGAATTACATTCACGGTATGGGTAGCCAAATGTCTTGGCTCAAGTTGGAGAGCATTGGAGATCTTGAGACTTCACAAGGAAGTATTTCAACAGCCTCTTTAGATTCAGGGTGCCACCCTCACTGAAACCTGAAACAGAAAGAAAGGAGGAAGATATCTTGTAAGTAGCACCTCAGGCATAGCTAATAGCTGGTTCTCTGTCTTGCTCAGCATGTGTGAGGATGCTTCTGAAGCTCAAGTCCTAGCTTCCTCCTTTTCTACATCAACCTGTGGGAATATGTTGTTCTGTTCTTTTTTTTCCAGGGGGAAATGGAATTGCCCATCAGAGTACTTTCTTTGGACTGTTTGGTCTCCGAGCTTGTAGGCAAGGTTATTTTACTTCAAATAATAACTGGGAAAAAAAAACAAAACAACCTCATACCATCTTTCTTTGTCAAAGGTTGATTTGATGAGGTTTTGGGGTAGAGAGGGTTGAATAAACTGCAAGGTAAGAGGCTCAAAACAAATAAGGTCTATTTTTGTCAATAAACCATGAAACCTTTGCCCCAGGCTATTGTTGATAAATTTTATGTAGATTCCCAAATGATTGGACAAGTATGTGGAAAGCCTTTTCAATACACAGACACCCTCTCGAGTTTGGGAAATCCCTGAATCACAAATGACTGGAAGCTGAGGGAGAATTCTGGGGTCTATCATGTCTTTCTTTTGTCTGTATGTTCTTCTGAAAGTGGTTGCTGTGGATGCCTTGGGTGTGCTGGGCAATGTGGACCTCTCCTCTTGGTGCAAGCTGGCTTTTATTTGTCATTGGTAGAGAAGTTGTTCCTTTCAGAAGCTAGAAATGCAGAGGTACTGGAAGGAATGAAAGCCTGGGCCACTGTCTTGTGCTTGGTGGCTTTTTATGGTTTTGCATTGAGTGAGGAAGAAGTGCAAAAAATTTATTCACAAGGAGGGTTCTGCATGACTCACTAATCAGCTGTGGCTCCAAGAGTGCTTGAAAAGTACTTGAAGACAGTCTGCATCCCTCCCTGGGCTTGCAGGTGATCTGCACATTTGGATAAGCTGCTCATGAAACCTCAGCTTGTCAGTGAGGCAGATCGTGCCCAGAGAGAGACCTGCTCTCTCTATCTCTAAAAATATCCTGGAAGCAAGCAAGAAAAAAAAATCTGCTGAGGTCAGAGTACGATTCTGACCTTTAGGTTGCCATCTAATACTCGGTCTAAATTCTGGACCGTTTGCTTAAGACAGATTCTGAGATGTCACTCAGGCGAAAGCTCTACTACTGTTCTGACCAAGAGAAAAACCCCTGCATCTTGTGCACTGGTTTTACTGACAGTTTGCGTGTCTATCATAAATACATATTCATCTACACCTGCCAGAAGAATGTTGTGCTTGGCTTGGATATGTTAAATGAGTTTTCCTGCTGACTAATTGGAAAACCTTTAGATACTGATAGTGAGTTTCTTTAAAGGGAAGAAAGTTTCCTGCGCTTACGGTAGACATGATTTCCCTCACTTTGGATTGGGAGGCTATTTAATTAATTAATCTTTAATCTGCCATTCTCTGGAAATTTCAGCGATCAAAGCTACTTGTCAACCTGCTCTGGATTTCCAAACTGGATTTTGGATTTTCTTCCATAGATCAGAGGGCAACTTATGCAAATTCTCACACGTAACTGGGTTGCAATGAACAGATGGGGAGGGGAGGAGAAGGGGAATCTGATCACCTCTCTTGTGGCAGTAGGCAGTTTGGCTGGTGGTAACAAAGCCTTTGGAACAAAGGCTACTCTGTGCTCCGCATCTGGTAGGCAGATAGCCAAAAATGCTGGAGCACTAATGGTCATTCAGGTCTTCGGTGGTTCATTTGATATTTGCCAGGTGCCTGCAGTACAGTGTGAGAGCAGGAAAGAGCACCTGGATAGGCTGCCTGTTCACCTGTGGCACGGAGCTGGCCCTATCTATTGGCTTAGTCTCGTTCCCAGAGTTTGGAGAACTGTTCTGTAGAAAAGAGGAAGAAAGGAGGAGAGCCTGGTGCCATGTGGGTGCAGCATGCTGCTCCATGGAGTTAGGCTCTGGGTTGTCTTCTCCTTAGAATCAGCAGAATCAACCTGCCCTGTCTGAGCAGCCAGGAGAAGCTCTCAGGTTGCTAATGCCCTCCCTTGGCTGAGTGGTTTTTAGATCATTTGGTTTATGTTTTCCGTGTTGAAGCTGCCTCACCAGCTATTATTCTTTTACCTTTTTGCCAGTATGTTGCCATGGTTCCTTCTAGGACCGGTGAGCAGTTCAGGTAGAAGGCACCTGTCTCTGCAAAGCATTTGCTTGAATATTTACAACTGTCTTCAAGATCTGCCTGTATGGAAATGCACCTCACATTTTCCATCAAATCTGTGTATTTCTTTTTTTGTTTTGTTTCTTAAATCTGAGGCTGTCATCAGCTTCCTCTTCTGCAGAGACCTATGGCTGTCTCAGGAAGACTGAGAGATAGTAGAGTGGGACTGGGTCACTGATAACAGTCAGGCCTTTTGCCCAAGCCAGGGGGGATTGTTTTGGTACGTCTCCTGTCTGGGCACCTGGATGTTTTGTTTGCTTTGGTGGAGGTTCTCTTTGTGAAATTATCTTTGTGCGCCTTGTGTGTGAGGTGCTGGTGCAAGAAGGGCCTCTGCATCTCTTGCTGCCCACCTGCAGCAGTGCCAAATCCCTGCAGGAGGAGGAGAGGCTCCTCCCCAGGGGCAGTATGTATGTATGTATGTAAGCCAAAGCCTTTCTTCTGCTTCCATTTGGTTTCCAAAGCTGAACAGAGTGGTGATGTTACCTTTGGGGTAAGGCTCAGGGATGTGGTAGCTACACTCCTTCTGCCACGTGCCTCTCACAGCCTGACCTCCTCAGAAGGAGGAGAGCTAGAGAGCTGTGCCCTCCTTTCTCCTCCCTGCCTGACCCTTGTGGCTGCATGCAGGAGGTGCGCACACACACAGGATGCGCGTGCACACACACATGCAGGAGGCACATGCATGCACGCACACACATGCAGGAGGTGTACACACAGGCACACACATGCATGCAGGAGGCACATGCATGCACACACACAGACACATGCAGGAGGTGTACACACATGCACACACATGCAGGAGGCGCACACAGACGCACACACAGCGCACACGCAGGAGGCACACATACATGCACACATACGCAGGAGGCACACACACACACACACATGCAGGAGGCACACATGCACACACACATGCACATGCATGCACACACACATGCACATGCGCACACACATGCAGGAGGCACACACGCATGCACACACACAGGAGGCACACACACACGCATGCACACGCAGGAGGCACCATCCGCTCGGTGGCCGCACGTTGCAGACCTTCCACTCGTGCCCTCGGCTGCTGGGCAGCCCCCGCCGGCCCGCCAGGCACGGAGCTCCCGGCAGAGCCTCGGCCAGCAGCTCAGCAGCTTTCTAGTAAAGGGATCTGCTGCTAAGGCCGTGTTTAAAGAGTTGAAACAAATATTTATTTAAGGGCGGGGGGGAGGAGGAGAAGGACGGTTCGCCCGGCGCGAAGGGCTTTGTCCGAGTACGGATCTCACGGGTCGATCCGCACCGACCGGCGGCGGACGCGGGCCGCCTGCGAGCCGCGCGGTCCGTGCCGACATGGCGGCTCCTTCCCCTCGCCTTCCACTTTCCCCTCTGGGCGCCGCCGGCCGCTCCTCGCTCCCTCTCTCCCCACGCGGAGAGAGCGGGCGCCGCGGGGCGGCTTTGTGCGGGCCCGGCCGCTCGCTCTAATCCGGGAGGCGGCTGCGATTGGCGGCCGCGTTGCCGCGGAGACGGACCGCCGGCGGCCGCCTTTGTTGGGGCCCGGCGCGGCCCCCGGCGGGCGGCCATTGTGGCGGCGGGGCGACGGGAGACCCCCGCAGCGCCCGGCACGGCTCGGCTCGGCACGGCACGATGGCCGCCAGGCCGGGGCTCCTCCGCGGGGCCCGGCTTCACCTCTGCGAAGGGCGCCGGGAGCCTCCCGTGCGTGCTGGGCTGAGGGGTGCCGGCGTCCTGCGGTCCCGTTTGTACCTCGTAACGGGAGGCGCGGCCGTGTCGTGCCACGCCGGCCTGATTTCAGAGCTCGAACTTAAAAGGACCCCACCGAGGCAGGCTCGGCTCGCAGCCTGCAGGCGCTGTGGGATGGAGCTGCTGCCCTTTTCTTGTCTCTGAGCGCCGTTGCCATGAGCTGATGATGTGTGTTTGGATGCGCTGGGCTCTGCGAAGGAGAGCGGCCGGTGCTGATCAGCCTTTCCCTGCACTGCACGGGGGTGGATCTGGCCTAAACCAATAAAACTCAGTAAAACCTCGAAAGATGTTAAGCCACATCTACTCTCCCCCAGCGCAGCTGCAAAGGGAGATGGGGCACAGCTGGGAGTGGGGCCACGTGCCCTGTGCCTGCCTTGCCTTTTGCGGGTGCTGTGTTGGCAGAGGGACACCAGGGCAGGAGGAGCAGCAGCCAGGTTGTCTGTTGTCACCTCGCTCGCATAGGGCGGATGTGTCGGACGAGCCCAAGGGCATCGGTGCTTCCGTCTGTCTGCTCGTGGTGGTACTGCTGGAAACGTGAGGAATGGCTCCTGCCGTTATCAGGGCACCGAGCTGAGCCGGGTGCCCTATTTGTTGGTGTGGGGTTAAAGGGAAGGGCTCTGCCTGTATCCATGCTGCGAAGCGGCGGTGCAGATGTGGCTCCTGCTGCAGAGCTGGTGAGCGGCTGCATTGCACATGGGAGCTGCTGGACGCAGAGTGCCGTCACCTCCCCCGAGCACTTGCACGTCCAGTTTCATAATCGGATTAAGGCAGTGGTATTAGAGAGGAGGGATGGGTCAGTGGGACAGGTTTACACTGGGGCTTACACAGAGGGGATTGAAGTATATTTTTTAACCCTGCTCGGCCTGACCTGCGGCGCGGTGCAGATGTGTCCGTGCAAGGAAACGCCCAGCGGGAAGATGGGGGGAAAGTGGCACCAGGCGGCCATGTGATGTGCTGGGAGGGGGCTCGGCTCGCCTTGCTGGGGGGGAGAGCAGCCGCTGGTCCTGGGGGATGGGAGCCGTCCGCCCCTCCCCCCGGGAGGCAGCCCTCACTCAGGCCTTGCAGTAAATTTGCTCTAATTACAGCCTCCAGCAGTGGGAAACCTCACTTAGAGGAAAGGCTCCTCGGGGTGGGGGCGGGGGCCGCTTCCCAGCTTTCCCAGGCAGGCTCTGTTGTCTGAGGCCTCCGCTTCCCCTGTCGCTGGGAGGCCCCTTATTCCTCTCCCCTCTCCAGCTTTGCTTCTCTCCCCCCCTTTAATTCCCCTCTCCTTTGAGGCTGGGATTTGGGAACAATGCCTTCCCTGCTCTTTGCCCCCCGGCTGGAGCCGCAGGCAAACAATTGGGGTCGCTGGCTGTGGCGTGGGGAGGGGGGGTTTGGCGAGGCCTGGGGCCGGGCCGAGGGGCTCAGCCCAGCAGCACCTGCCCTGGGCTGGGGGAGCTTCAGTTGTGGACAGGGGAATGGCGGCCTGTGCTGTGGTATGAGCCTGGTGCAGTACCAGAAGCATAGTTTGCACACACACTGTTTCCTTCGTGTGGGTGGGAAGTCTTGTCCTTATTCCCTCTGGTTTTGGGAGGCCAGGTCTTTGTAAATATGTCAGTGATGCTTGTGACAGGAGCAATAATCTGATCAGAGCCCTTCTCTCTGCAGGTGGATGATGCGATGCTGATGTTTGACAAGACAACCAACCGACACCGAGGTGAGAGCGATCTTCTGGCCGTAGGAGTGGGAAGCAGGGAGGGTTCCCCTCCTGCCTTAGTAGGGAGGGGTTGGTATCCCAGCAGCAGGGCACTCGGGTTGCAGCTGCTCTTTATCTTGCCTCCAATTGCCCCATCCTTTTGCATCTGCATCCTTTACCGGCGTCCCTTGCAGCACAGAGAGCTTTTGTCCAGTGCATTTCCTGTGCTGTAAACTCGATGAGTTGCAGATATGTGAGAGGAGGCAGCCCCCTCCCCTTCCCGCTTACCTCTGTGGCTCCAGCCTGCAGTGTGTCTTACCTTGTCCTGCGTAATCCGAGCTCCAGGAACGCTGACATGAGAGCCTTGAAGACTGCCTGCTTCTCACCCCTTCCTCGGCATGGAGCCCACTTGTGCTCCCAGGTCACCTTTTCTTACCCGAGCCCTGGTGGAGTCTGGTTACAGGATGGGAACAAGGCTGCAATATTTGCTGTGTCTGGACCCAACCCACCCATGGGTATCCTTGTCTCCTATCCTCCAAGTGTGTCTTCGGACTGCCTCAGTGCATGGCCAGGGTTGGCACCCATATTGCACTAGCTCAGAGATTTATTGACAACTTAATCTATAGACCTGGTCTTAGCATCTTCCAAACTGGGGCCAGTAGCAGCCCTGTGCTAGGCCATTGTCTGCATTGTTTGAAACACTTCCAGGCACCTCTGTCCCCAGATCAGCAAAGGGACGCTTCATTCTGCTTTTGCTACATTTTGTGCAGAAACAGTGGTTTTTTTTTGGTGGTTTTTTTTTCCTTTTTCTTTTTTTAAGGGCCATCCATTAGGTCTGTTCTGGTTGCCTGCCTTAAGGTGGTGTTCCAGTTTTATCCTAAAAGGGAATAAATGGTGTAACCCCTGTTACTCCATGGGTACCTTCCAGTCAGTAGTTAACAAAAGAATTGTTGGGTATTTCAGAAGGAACAGGAAGAGCTGCATGCTGCCATGTCAGCAGTGTGAGGTGCAGCAGGCCTGGCGGAGGTCTGGCTGGTCTCAGGGCTCATTTTGGCATCAGGATTTCACTCTTGAATTCCTGAGGCCCCCCACTCGTAGATGTTGAGATGACTGGTCCATAACTACCTGGGCACAGACAGACAGGAAGAGTTTATGGAGAGTGATTTCACATGTAACATGGAAAAAAAAGTGGGGTTCAGAGTAGTGGATCCCCATCTGTTCTTAAAAGTTATTTTAAAGCACCATGAAACAGGTCAGTTCTGGAAAGTGGAAAGCGGAAAGCTCTGCTTAATGCTGATCTTGTTATATAGCAAATTTAGAGATCCTCCACCTTCAGATTTCAGAGAGAGCTGCAGTCAGCTAAACTTAGTCTGCCCACCCTAGCTGGTGTTTGCCAAAAATGTCAGCAGAGGATTTGGTGAGAGAAAGGAGGTGCAGGCATGGACTTGGGATATGCTGTCCTATCTTATGACAGAGACTAAACTTGCTTTGATGAAACTTGGCAAATCCGTTTGCTTGTGGGTTATCTGTGCAGCTCTGTCTTGCTCTGTACAACTGCACTGCTGATATTCGCTTGCTTGTACCAGTGGTATAGTAGTGGCTGAAGAGGAAACATGCAGGTTGTCACTGCTGGCCTGGTGCATTTAGCATGGATGGGGATGTCCTGGCAAGCAGCTGTTCATTTCTTCAGCTCTCTTTGTGTGAGCGTCTGCTGGGATCCTCCCCAACATTATCAGCCATGTGGTTTGTCTTGCAAATAGTTAAGTTAAAAAGCAAAACAAAACAAAACTTGGTTTTGAAAGCGGTTGGGTTCAGAGAGGGTGGGAGGTAGAAAAAGAGAAGGAAAGGGGAATCCATATGGGATGGCCATGTTTTCTTCCACACAAAGGCAGGGTTTGCTGGAGAAGGAAGATGAGGGACAACTATTTTCAAGGGCTGGATTGTGCTGTCCACAAAGCCTGTGGCTCCTCTTCTTCTACCAATAAGACAGTGTAGGTAATGGGATCCAACTTTGTAGAGCTCTGGCCTGACCAAGAAGTTTTGCCTTTTCTTCAGGGTTTGGATTTGTCACATTTGAAAGTGAAGACATTGTGGAAAAAGTATGTGAAATCCACTTCCATGAGATTAACAACAAAATGGTGAGTGCCTGGGACAGGTGCTGATGCAGAGCTGGGCAGTGGCACAGGGGCAATGTGAGGCATTTTCTCTGCTGTGGGGAATTGATTCTTCTCCCCACTACAGCCAGTCTGGGAAGGAAACACTGTGCTGTGAACCAGCATGATGGGGAAATGACTGACCTGCTAATAGGAATTGTACAGTTCTTGTGGGTTTTGAAGTTACTGTGAAACTCTTAGTGGCCCAGTAAGGAGCAGAATGTTACCTTTATTTGGAAATGAGGAAAATGATGCTTTGAGAACCTTGTGCAGGGCCGAGTGTGGAACACGGAGGGCAGAAGAGCAGTGTCTGAGCTCCTCGTTGTCTCTTGTGTCTGCAGAGCAGAGGGGAGGCTGGTAGCATGCAGGGTGCCTTGGGAAGGACATGGGGACAAGCTGTGGCACTGGCTGGGGCTGAGAAGTGCTATCCCAGTAGCAGCCTGGCCAGCCCACAGCCTAGGATCTGTGCATCCAGTGCAATGCTCCGTGCCAATCACAGCCAAGTCTGATCTTCACTTTCTTGTGGCAGGTGGAGTGCAAAAAAGCCCAGCCCAAGGAGGTGATGTCCCCTACAGGCTCAGCACGAGGGCGGTCCCGAGTCATGCCTTACGGGATGGACGCCTTCATGCTCGGGATCGGCATGCTGGGTAAGCCTCAGGACGGATCCCAGCTCCCGGTCGTGCCCGGCAGCAGCTTAGAGGTTTTATTCTGAGAGCGCTTCCTGGCGCGCTGAGCCGAGCAGGGCGGCCAAGGGCAGCTCTCCGTGGTGCGGGGCTGGGGACACTGGGAGCATCGGGACCGTTTGTGATCGCAACTTGCCCTCTGGTGGCACCTGGAGAAACTGCAAACTTGTCTCTGCTGTCCTGCGTTAGGAACTGTCCGGAGGAGCCGTGTGCTGGGAAACGGGCTCTCTGTAGCTCGGTTTGTATTTCTGCACTGTGATAGTGTAATTCTCTAATGGCCAGCGTGGAATAGGACAGAGGTTATTCCACATTCGGTTCAGCTGTGCCCAGATATCTTCCTCCTGCACTTCTGTAGGCTTTCTGATGAATTAATTCAGGTAGCCACTGAGCAAAACTCCCAAAAGGACATATTTTCTCTCCAGTGTTTTCACTTGACTTACTGAAGGAAAACAAATCTCCAGCCCACGGTTTGCATTTTCCAAGCCATTTGAATTTTCAAGTAGCAAGACTCAAGCTGAGTCATTGCAAAGTCCACGTACTTGTTTCTTTGAGAGATCTCAAATCAAATATTCATCTCTGAGTCGATGTCCTGTGCTCCCATAGGCCTGTAGGGGTGCATGGCTTCCTGGGAATGGGAGGCATTGTGCCCAGCACCAGGAAGCAGTACTCTGCCCGTGTTTGCCCGGCACCTCTGAGTGACTCAGAGCTATTCAGCCTTTCAAATGCTGCCACCTCCCTGATCTCCTGTTCCTAAATGCATCTGATGCCTCAGAAAGCCTTAGTCTGCAGAGCTGTGAGCTTCTGAGAAGGAAACCTCCATGTCCTTACATGTTTGCAGTGACGAAAAAATCTAATGGGCCTGTTAAAGCTCAGATTCACATACATCCTGTTCTCTGCCTCAGCAGTTTCTTGGGTTTTCTGCTGTTAGTCCTGTTTGTTCTAACACTCCTTGCTGCTTGTGAGCAGCTAGTCACAGAGGTCACTGCGAGCTTGCAGTAACAGCACTTTTCTACTCCCCAGGTTATCCAGGCTTCCAAGCTGCCACCTACGCGAGTCGAAGTTACACTGGCATTGCACCTGGTTACACTTACCAGTTCCCTGGTGAGTGGTGCTCCCTGCTCGGTATTTTTGTCTGCCTGCAGGTGATGGGGTTCTCTGGCATGATCCATGACCCAGGCTGTGCCCCTTTTACCCTCTTCCCTGTTTGCTCTTTGTTTAAATTGGAGACGGATGTGGAAGGGGGAGGGGAAAAGCCCTGGAATAGGTGGGAGCAGCCTGTCCTTCATTAGGATTATCCTCACACCCCAGTGACAGGAAAAGCCCTAGGCTGCTCTGATGCCCTTCATGTTAGCCTCCTCTGTAGGGCTGCTGCTGTTACACAGGAGGGCCCCTGCAGCTCTGCCTGTCTGCTGCCTTTATGTGTGTCTGTCTCTCTTTAACAGAGTTGCCACTGCTCTGAAAATAACACAGGAGTTTGAAGTGTAGCTTTCCATGGGCTTGGGAACTGCTGGACACCCAAAATAGAGATGTCTGCAATGTTAGTTGCTTTCTGACCAATGCCTGGGCCACTTCTAGCCCCTGGAGAACATCTGCTGGGGCGGTGGGCTGCAGGCCCCCTGTGTACTGAGTAGTATCAAGCTCCTGGCCCCACCATGTGCTCAGAGCATGGACCCTGCAATCAATGGCTGGAACCTGCTGTGTCACAGCTGCTCCAGGCTGAATGGGGCCTCTTCTCCCTCCCCCTCCTCTGTGGTCCTGGGGATTGAGGCAGAGCACATTCAGAGAAAAGGCCATCTTGCTATTTTCTAGAGAAGTGACAACTCTGAGCATCCCTTCCTGACCTCAACTCTCAATTTAATGATTTATATATGAAGTCTTGGTGTTAGGGGCTGGGAGTGGGAAGTTGTTGCTTTGCCTGTGGTGAGCCCATGCTGTCTGTGGCTGAAAGTTGCTGTTGCCTCCTAGCTGCCTGGAAGCTCTGTGAGTCCAGTTTATGGGTCTTGGTCATTGTGGTTTGGAGTGTTTCATTATAAAAACCATGTCCAGCTGAGTCTGACACACACTGATCATCTACTGCCATTGCAGCTGAGAGGTCAGATCTGATGAGTTGTGGAGCAGTGCTCCAGGGCAGGCCTGAGGCTGCTGAGCTGGGCCACGGGTAAAGCTTGCACTTGCTCTGCCTTGCCAGATTTGTTCTAAGGATAAATAGATCCTTAAAGCCTCTGGGGCAGGAGTCCAGCACCTTTCAGCACCAGTTATAAATTAGTTTAGAAATGGCACTGCCTGGTTGCAGCTTGGCTGCAGGCTGCTCCTCCAGCAGCCCTGGCTGCCGTCTGTTTGTGGGGTCTCCTTCGGGGCATTTGACAAGTTCCTAAGCTGTCTTGCATTTCATTTTTAGAGTTCCGTGTAGAGCGGACCCCTCTCCCGAGTGCCCCCGTCCTCCCTGAGCTCACAGGTCAGTCCCACTCATTTCCTAAACTCACAAGCTGGGAGAAGGGGGCTTTGGGCTGTTCCAGTGGTGTTGCTGCTCTGCAGCCTGGCACAGTTAGGCTGGAAATATTTCTTATTTCTTCTTCCATCTGTACAAGCTCTGTTAAAAGCTGGGGCTGGAAAGGTGGAGAGGGAATCAGAGCCAGGGCATTGCCTCTGGGAAGGGCAGTGCAGGTCATACCAAGTAAAGGCATGTAATTCCTATGTGGCATTTCCTGCTGCTTGCCTCATTTTAGCTCCTTGCCCTGGGCTGGATGTAAACCAGAGCTGGAAAAGTCTAGAGGGCAGGGTGGCTTCTCAAAGGTCTACAAATGACCTTAACCTGATCTGCTGCAAGGACAAGTACTGCACTGCTGGGAGGGAGGAGAAAGTGTGGGGCACTCCTCGTCACTCTACATGTCCTGCACAGGGAAATGGGTGAAGTCCCCCACTGTATTGTAGGGGAGAAATGGAAACAAAGGGCTATTCTCCAGGGACTAGTCATGACTCAGTGTCCTCACAGTGTAAATACTCTCTGGATCCTCAGCCCTGGACCATGTACAATGTTTTCTCTCTGGGTGATGCTCCTTCTGTTGACTCTCCCTCCCGTGGCCATGTTTTCCCCAGCCTTGTTGTGTCCATGGTATTTGCTGTAGAAGATCAGCTTTGTGTAGCACCCTGCTCCCCTTGTGCCATCTCATTTCCATAGTGCTCCTCCTCTCCAGCGCTTCCTTGCCCCCACCTGTTTCAGGGTGTGAATCTCTCTGCAATGGGGATGTGGAAAAGCTTCTTGAAAAGCTCTCCTGGATTTATCAGTACAAACAGGATTGAAATCACTTTCTGTGGCACAAAACCGTGTCAGTCCTCAGGGAGTCTGCTGAGGTTGGCAGCCACCAAGGCATAAATTGTCCTGAGGGAGGTAGGAAAAGGTTAAATCCTAGCTCTCCCAATAAAACACTTCCCGGATAACATGTATGCAACTGCATAAGCACCTGACCCCTAACTTTAAGCCTTTTGGTTGCCAAACGAAAGAGATTTAGGTCCAGTTGTATGTACGTGTGTCATTTTTCCAGCAAACCCCATAACATTTGCAGGGGAGCACTGATGACTTGGCAAAAGTGCTTCTCCCTTCAGGCAGGATTGTGCCTCTCCTTGTGGAGGTGATTGCCTGGGGTGTACCAGGGCTCTGCAAAACAAGAAGTTATTAATGCTGCTCTCCTGGCTGAGTGCCATGGCAGCTTACAGTTCTGAGTGCCTTACTGAAGTACCAGCTGGGGATTGTGGCATTCTTCCCTTGCCATTACCTACTGCTAAGCAGCCACTGTTCAGCCTTTTGGCTGGGTTGAGAGCTGCAGTTCCCATGTATAGGCTGGAGCTGGTCCCACAAAGTGCAGGGCCCCTTCCATTTCTACAAAGGCCCTGTGAGCTTGAGGGCCCTTGTGCCTTGGAGTGAGTGCTTGGCAAGTGGGACTGAGCTGAGGGGATGGCACAAACAGGGATGATTGCTCCAGTGTGCAGGGTGACAGTGTGCAGGTGCTTTGTCATCACAACACAAACCTGTTTTTCTGTAGACAGACTACAAAAGCAAGAAAGGGTTTTCCTGAAAAAAGAACCAGAATCTGTGAGAAGACCTGCCCTCCATCCTCATTAAAATCATATTAATTCGGTCGTGTGTTAGGACCTTGAAGCAGTGGGGGGGCAGAAGGGTGGCTGCCAGCAGCCTTTCCTCCCCAGAACAGCATCTCCGGGGGTGTTGCAGAGTTGCAACACACTCATGTTGGCCCAGGGTCTGGGATGAGCAGAAAACCCAGACAGAAGCCCCATATGACGTTTGTTTGAAACAGACTGGTGCCTGCTACTAAATATTCCCTTATAAGCTAGTCTGGATTTCAGCCTTACCAAGATCGATTTGTTCTGACCTCTTTTTATGGTGCTCTAAACAGAATCACAGTGAATTTCACATTCGAGCATGAAATGCTGACCCAGTCATTTTAAGGGCAAAGAGAAACACACTGGCTAGATGCCTCCTGCCCTGAGGGTTGGTTGCCTTTGGCACTAGAGTTGAGAATTAGAACTGCTATGTATAAACTAAGACTTACTGTTTTAATTAAGCCATTTCTAGATCCTGCTCCCTAGGTGTATGCTTCCTCTGTTCTACAGTGAGCAGCAAGGGGTTGAGCAGTTCAGGAGGAAAGCTGAGTGGAGAGGATGGTGAGTCTTGACTGGAAAAATAGGTAGAAAGAGGCTATTCAAATATTAGTATCAAAGGAAAGAGAGGAGGGGATTGTGCCTCAGGACACTGAGCTGCTAGCCACAGTCCCTGTGCTACTGGATTTCTCCACATTTATAGCCTAAATCTGGATCTGTAGCTTCAGATTTAACTGCACCTTGCAAGATAAGGAGCGATGGATGCATCTGAAACTGCTCTCTGGTTCAGCTCTTCACATCACGCCCTCGGCTGCTCCAGCAGGTGGGGTTAGCAGAGCATGGCTAGTGTCCCCCTGCAGCACATTCACTGTGCAACCAACCAACGCGAGGCTGTGTGCTCCCCTGTTCTCATCCACAGATGTGCTGTGTGATGCACTAGGCTGATGGTATTTTGCAGCAGGAAACAAATGCTCCTGTAGAGGAATTCACCATTTAACCTCAATGCCCCTGAGATGCCTGTTCCTTCCTTTCCAGCAATCCCCCTCACTGCGTATGGACCAATGGCAGCAGCAGCAGCTGCAGCAGCTGTGGTGCGAGGGACAGGTAACTGCCACTGCCTCCCTGGCATGGTGTCCTGCCACGGAGGTTTGATGGGCTGTGGGAGGGGGGTGGGACGGGGTTGCACTTTTGGGATTTTCACTGTGTAGTTTTGCTGCCTCCTGTAGGTTCCACCCCCAGTCGCACCGGTGGATTTCTGGGCACCACCAGCCCTGGGCCGATGGCAGAGCTTTATGGAGCCGCCAACCAGGACTCAGGGGTCAGCAGTTACATCAGCGCTGCCAGTCCAGCCCCGAGCACTGGCTTTGGCCACAGCCTAGGGGTGAGTGTTCCTCACTGGGCTCTTCACAGAGGGAAGGACTACATCTTCATGTGGTGATGGAGGCGAGCAGCGTTGGGCAGCCTGCTTTCTTGTTAAGAGCTGCCACCTGCTGAGCCCCAGGCTGCACACTGCTGGTGCAGGATGCAGATCCAGTTCACCTGGAGCCTGCGTCCCTGGTCTCCAATGGCTCTACTCAGCCTGGTCAAGGTCCTGATCTCCAGACCTTTCCCTGGTCTGGCCAAAGAGCTCATCTTGGCCCCGACACAGTTTCCTTCAGGTTGCTGGGACTCTCTGTACCTACCAACTCCAACTGGAGCCAGCTTTCCTAGCATCTGGGGCATGACTGAATTTGTGTTGGTAGTAATTTTCCTGGCTTTTTTTTTTATTTGTTTGATTAACGGTGAGTTTTATCTCCTTCCATGTAGGGTCCCTTGATTGCAACAGCTTTTACCAATGGGTATCACTGAAGCTGGGGACCAAGGAGGCAGGAGGTAAGAGAACTTCAACCAGGAACAGGTAGTGGGAGAAAGGACATTCTGAGCTGGTCCCTGTGTTTGGGCTCCCAGCAAGAGCTGTGAAGGCTGCTGGGAGGCTTGCTGCCTCAATCCAGCCTGTGCAAAGATTCTTCTGGCCAGCTGAGGGCTCTGTTCCACACCAGAGGCTTGGCAGGTTGCTTCCTGCCTTGTGCTCTCCAGGCGCAGAGTGTTGTGAAGAGATTGCTTAGGTCTGGGTGCAGAGGGGAAGGAAATGAGAGCACTGACAGCAAGAGGGAAAGGTCTTCAGGGCTGGCCAGAATCATGGCCCAGAGGTGATCCCGTGGCAAGCCTGACTCAACTGTGTGGCTGGGGGAGCCTCCTCTGCATGGCTGCTTGTTCTCATGGCTGCCTCATCATGGCCTGCTGAACAGGATTTTTCCTCTCCTGTCTAGGAGAAGAAGGGCGGAGGGATCTGAGTCTTATCAGTTTGTTTCTGGTGCTTAGCTGGGCTTGAGACAGATGATTTCTGCTTTGCAAACATGGCTGAATTTTGTTGGCTTACAAAAGAAAAAAAAAAAAGCTTCAAAAAAAGAGGGCAAAAACTTGAAGGGAAGGCCCCACAGCAGCCTGAGCTGAGTGCTGGAGAAATGGCAGGACCCTGCTTTATAGCCAAGAGTGGAACCAAGAGTGCTGCAGGTTGGGGCAGGCCGGCTGCACAGCGTGTGGAACCTTGTTTCCTGGGTCTGAACTTTGCCATTAAGCATGGAATCATCTCTGCTATGCTCAGTGCCATGCCAGCAGCGTACAGAGCAAGTCAGTGCTGGGTCAGGTCCGGATATCGAGCATTTCTGCCACGTAACACTGGAAGAGAGCCTCAAAGGTAAAGCTGTTGGGTGTTCTAGATCCTGCCCCTTCTTCCCCTGCTGTGTCTTGCAGATTCCCCAGTGACCGAACCGAGGACAGCGGCTGGAGGGTCTGGTGAGCCTCGGGGGATGAGCCACGGTTCCCTTCTTCTTGAATCAAACTGCACACCTGCCGGCTGGCTGCCAGGCTCCTGCCGCCCTGCCCTGATCTCTCCCATTGACCAGACCACACTGGACTGAACCCGAGGAGATCATCTCGCTTTCTTACTAACCGCCGACGGTTTACGCTTCCCCCTTCCCTGCCCCCAGCCCACCGGTTCTTCTTTTATTTATTTTATTAGCTGTTAGTTTTATTTTTTTATTTTATTTTTTTATCTTTTTTTGGGGGCTCCCCCTTCTTTTTGTTGTTTGCTCTTTCCCGAGCTAGTAGACATATTTTATGAATTGGCTTTGTGATTGTGTTAGGTAGTTTTTATTGAGGAGTATTTTTATTTGGCTTTGAAACTGTTTTGAATATTTTCAACTCTGTTGTTGTTGTCGTCAGTGTTTTTAAAGCACGGTATGTAATGAGAATGCAGTTCTGAAGGAAAGAAAGAGACGCAGAGAGAGCAAAGGCTGAGAGGAACTGATGTATTTCTATTTTTTTTAAAGAAACTGTTTTTAATTGTTTCTGTTTTGTAAATGTGAGGCTTTGAAAAGTGTGAAACTCCAAGGATCCGAAAACGTTGGACATCGCTATGGAACAAAACAAATGTATATTTTGCTAAGTGAAAAACACTATCTTACAGCTGAAAGAATTTTGTTTTCCTAGGTTTAGTTTTACGTGGGATTTTCTTTTTCCTCCTGTATAATATGTAAATATCGCGAGCTGAACCTGGCTGCCACGCGCAGCCTGGCTCCGAGGAGCAGCTCCAGGTCCTGGACTTGGTGCAGCAGTGTGAGCAATACTCTCCAGCAGAATCCTGACAGGACTCCGTTCTTTTTTTGTACACCTTTTACTGTAAGATTTTAAGACCTCTGATGAGATGAAAGGGGGGGTGGGGGTGGGGTGAAACGTACCGGCCATCGGCTGTGTTGCTGAGCGGGTTAAAGCTGCTTCCAATCGCTCCATGTACAGACTCCATCACTGGGCTCCGTAGTGCCAGTGTCTGGTTTGGCTTTAGGTAAAGGGCTTCACCGCCACCGTTTGTCTTGGTTACTTTGAAAGGAATCCACTCTCCAAACGCTATCGCTTGCGTCAAGATTGCCTGGGAAAGGGGATCCTCCTCCGGAGGCGAGGGTATTGGAAGGGGAGTCAGCCAGGGCCGGGGGGAGGTGGGGATGGTTGATCTGTAAGGGCAGGGTGCTGGGCTGGGGAGTTGTTAACGGGGAGAAAAGCATTAGGGTGGTGATTTGGGGGCGGGTTAAGGGCTTCTCAGGGATTATATGAAATATAGAATCGCAGCTTCCCATTTGCTTTACTCTGTGTTCTGAAGACTGTGGGAATTTGTCCGTTGTGCTGTGCGGAGGTGATCTGGTCCCTTCTCCAGAACCTGCAGGGGCTTCCCCTGGCACGATCCAGGCCACAGCTGGGGAGCACTGTGCCAGGGGAAGCCTCCGGCAGGAGCACACGGGGCAGGTTTGGGTCTGGATTTCAGTGAACCAAAGACCTTGTTTAGGGGGGTGATTGAGCCTTTCATTAAGATGCAGCCAAACTCTTTTCCCAGGGAAATAACAGCTTCATCTTAAGTTTTAAAAATCATTCCCTCTCTTCCCCCAAACTGAGCCCTTGTAAGGGAGAGGGGTATTTGAAAAAGGACTGAGAGGGCCATCGTGCCCACAGGGCTCTTCTCTTCCATCCCTCCCCCTGCGTGCCGGAGCTTTTCCTGACCTGGGTGATACGTTTGGAGAGTTCTGTTTAGGTAAGAGGGTACTTAACAGATTAGTACTGAAAACACAAAGCAATAATTTTTGTTACTGAGACAAGAGTCTGTATGTCTGTTTTTTTAAATATTTCCTAATGAAAGAAGAGCTGCATTTTATTGGGTTTATTTTTATTCTATATACTTCAAATTTGGGTCTGCGGACAGCGCCTTCCTCCCTCTTGGTACATGCGCTGAACTGCTTCTGTGCCCCCTCCAGACATCCCAGGCCAGCTGTGCTGCCGCTGGGCTGTGAGTCACTCGCTGGCCAGTGCCGCCACTGCCTGGAGGCTGGGGCTCCGCTTTCAGGGTGGGCATTTTTTTAAAAAGAAATAAAGCTGTGTTTTTAAGCCAGTAAGTTATTACACTCCAATGTTTGTTCTCTCCACACCTGTAACCCTTTTTTTCCAGATTTCAGTTTTAAATTCCTAATAAATTATTTGAAAACTGTCCTCTGTCGTTACTCGGGTTGGGGGAGGATTTTCATTTGGAGGGAACTGCAAGTGAGTTTGGGCCTGGCAGGAGTGGTGTGCTGCTGTCAGGATGAAAGCCCCAGGGCTTTGACTGTGTGTTCTGCTCCCTGACTTTGGCAGTGGTCCAGTTTATAATGTGAGACAGATCTGCATTTAATAGAGATTGTGCCTCTCCTTTGCATTACAGACGTTCGTAGCTTTGAGGAAGGGTCGTGTGGTACTAAGAAGGTTGGCTCTTCAGATTCATGGACTGTGGCGAACCAAGGAGGTTAGACTTAGGAAGGACAAATGGAAAGATAGGAAGAAGATTCCTTAATAGATAACACTACAAGAGAAAGGTAATTTCCAACAGTGTAAATAAAACAAGGTGGAGAATCCTGTGCAGCAGGTCATCATCACAGAGAATTCTTAAAAATAATTTAAGGCTCAAGCCAGTGACTTTGGGAACCCGTTGTACACTGGGATGGCCTCAAAAGTGCACTGAGCACCAGCAGCTTTGTGCACAGTACTGGTGAGGAAAGCCAGAAAGAGCTTTGGTGGAGAGATCTTTACCCTTCTGGGAGTTTTCTCATACAGCACTGCTGTTTATCACATGCTGCCTTTCTCACACTGAGTGATCCCCTTGTTTAAATCCCAGATATGATAGTCCTTTTGATCTGTGACTTAGCAAGGCCAGTTTATTGGAGGTTCTCTTGGCAACATCCATAAAAAAATCACACTGGGAAATGGGAAAGAAGGAACCGCAGAGTCCTGAGGATCATCAATAAATGAACAGAGAAATAAAACATTGAAAAAGAGTAAAGGTGGCCAAGGTCTCAGCGGAGAAAGAGAACACTTAGATATTGAAGGGAAAGTCAGCAGCTTGATCTGTGTCAAAGAATCAAGATGTTTTTTTCCCAAGTAAACTGAAGCACTGGCTCCTTTACCTCAGCCTGTAATGTTTGCTCAGTGTGCTCACTGTTGAGGACACAGGAATCTTGAGCCTGTAACTCAGCACCTGTTAGACTTAGTTAATCCATGAGTGGGGAATCCCAGAGACTCAGAGAGCTGTGAGAGATGGTGCTGGTTCTGCTGTTCAGCAGCACGTCCGGCTTACGGAGGCATCCTATGGGCCTGTCAGCACTGCATCCTGTGCACACCGCGACACTTTCAGCCACTCTGAAGGGGAAGATGTGTCACCATCACTTACAGAAAGATACAGTGGAACTTGCTGAAGGGTGCTAACTCTAAGTTTCCTGAATAAATGCTCTGGTATTTCAGATTGTTGTGGAGAGATGAGCTTTGCCTCTTCCCTTGCTGTTAAAACAGAAGGCTTGCTGCGTATTGTAAAAATAAATGCAGGCTCTTACTCTCAAGGCAATATCTCAAGTATG